CTAGTAAACATACTGTATGTATGAGCGGTAGTTTTTATCTGCACTCAAAAAGTAATTTGTGAATTTCTTACAGCACATGTTGCAGTGGAGCTGATTTGTCTTAAAATATCTTCTTTGTCTTTACCACACATTCTTGCTACACACAGCCTCGCTCTCGCTGTGATGCAGGAACACCAGTCTGACATGAAATTACTTTTGCTGGCTTTGCTGGGTCTGATAATGAGCTCATGACCTCAGGAAAGGTGAGACATACCTGCAGAAATGCCGGGGATGAGTTGAAAGACAGGTCACCAAGACAGGTAGCAATGTTTGTGCTCCACACAAGCGGTCAGAGCATTGCTAGTGGCTGTGACTGGACAGGAACCAAAAAAGGATTTCAGCTCTAGTTTTTACGCATCTTAAAGAAAGAATGCTGCAAGAGTCGGTAACTTAAACACGTCATTTAAAAGATGTATGGCCTTCAGAGTTTGAGGACTCACTTGAGCCCCTGTCATGTATTAGTGCTTCACGGTCAGGTGAAGCAGAGGCTGTAGCATGAAAGTAAAAAGTCAACTAGCCTGACATATTCCTGGTGCCCTTACTGACCCACATAGTATGTTAAGGAGCTTAATACAGGATGATTGAAAACAGCATCTAAGCTATGAGAACACATAATTCACTCACAGGTTCACTGAGGAATAATAATATCAAGACTGAACATCTTTTACAGATATGGGTTTCTTCTTAAATATCTCAAAACATATAGTATGTTGTTATATATTGTTACAGTGGGAGAACAGGTTTAATCATAAATATGAGCACTAGTGTTACTGTTATCTTAGGTTAAGGGCATGGAGAGACATGGAGTCCTGATGCCAAGTGGCATCTTCAAACTGATATTGCTGTTCAGACTACAGACTCGTCACATCTGACAGGCTAACTACTGTAACATTTGGCTGAGACCTAAACTTGACAGGTCAAATTCTATAGCTAAATTATTTCAGCACAAGCGCCTTTCTTGGTGTCGTTTTCGCATCAATTAAAATGTTCAGCGTTAAGGAGGTTTGGGGAAAAAAGAACTCTGACCACTGAAACAAACATCTGCAGAGCATTCAGGTAATTTATTCATCTGTGAGGCAGTGACCCGTGTCCAAGAGTGCATTTCAGCATCTCACTCACTCTGAGTCTGTGTCCTTTTCTTTGGGGTCATAACCCTGAAACAGCTCCTGTGTTGCTCTGAAGTCCATCCCACCGCTTCTGTTTCCTGCTGTTGCTCTGCAACCTCATCAACAGATACAAGCCTGGTTTGTATCAACTACTGTCTCCCTCAAAAGGATGAAGAAAATTATATATTTTGGGAATCATTTAACATAACATTTCCCAAAAACATTCTGGTCACTATGAAGAAAAAAAAAGTTATATTTTGCCAAACTTAGCAGCTTTTTATTGTGATATGTGGTTTTAAGAGCCACTGCAGCAACAGCATTTCATTCACTATCGATGAAGTGTGTGAGGACTCACAGAGAGAAGCAGTTTAAGTGAGCCAAGCAGTGTACACCCTGGACAGGTCGCCAGTCACACTCTCATTCACACCCGCATGTCTGTGGATTGTGGGAGAAAACCCAGAGGAAAACAGAAAGGTCAGCTGTGAGGGTCAAACCCTAAACCGTCTTGCTAAATTGCTAACCACTGCACCACCATGCTGCCCATTTAATAAGCTTACAAGCCATTAAATAAGCTGGTGCAAGTTTCTTTAAATGGCAGAAGTGAGGTGAATCCTTTTACCTTAAGACTGAATTATTGTTACAATGGTTCAGTCACTGATTCATATTCTCCAGTCAGTTTCCTAACAGATGCATTCTTGTCGAGTTTTAATACAAAAAAGTTCATAAAAGGTGCTTGGTTAACAATTTAAAGGCAAAATAAAATAAGATTAACTACCCAGACAATTGCTATAAATATTGCAAAAAGAACAAGAACTAGTTAAACTGGTTCCTGGGCATGTGGTTGTTGTTGTAAGGTATGCTTTATATATAAAACCATTAAACCAGACGTAAACAATCCAAGGATGTTAGGATGAATGACAGTGCATGCCAGGGTGGGGAGTGTTCATACCTGCAAGTAGCACATTAAAAAAAACCCTGTCTGAGAGGTTGCTTTTTTGTTCTTGCATGTCATTGCCAGGTCCTGATCCACACCCAGTCTCTGTAACTACTAGTATTTGAGACACTCATCTAATTGTGCGTGGCTTGATTTGACTGTGCAGGTCTGGACTGATCCTTTGTTTTGCCACTGTTTCAGAAGTGCATTTCTCTTGTTTTACGCCCTGTGGGAATGAGCTTCGGGAACATGACAACACGTATGTTGCTCCAAAGTGGAAAAACACAGTTATTAAACACTCCTAAAGAAAACTGTTACAGTGCCGCTGCTGCAGAACGTAACTTTTATTCAAGGTCCTCAGTTATGTGAAAACGTCCTTGATAAGCTCAGATTGACTTTCACTGATGACAGAGGACAAGGAGGGGTATTGTAGTGCCTATGGTTTGTGTTGAGTGAGCTGAGAGGCAGCCTGAGTGATTTCTGTCCAGCTCCTAGACAGATAAACAGACAGAGCATATGGAACAAGGCTCCCAGGATACTTATGTATGCTACAGAGGCATGTGAGGAATGTGGACATGGCAGGTGACCTCTCTACATCTCCAAACAAGGCTGGCTGACAGTTGTTTATTGCTGCTTTTGCCCAGATCACCACCGTTTGTGTTTGTTTACAATGGGAATGTGTGTGGAGCCATAAAGGATGGGCAATGTTTGAAACTCCCCCAAGAATTATGTCTTCATAACAAGCATTTGTGTTTTTAATTAGCTGAACATGAGACATATGGGTGTGAGTGTGTGTGTCTGTAAGGTGGCCTGAGTATACTGCACATGATTTTCCATTGGTGATGCTAGTTTCCTATTCATGGTGGTCTAATTTGCTACTGATGCCTCAGGAAACAATTGCAGCAAAAGACAAATGAAATCAAAAAACAGAAATATTTTCATACATTCACTCTATGTATTGATTGACTTATCTATGTAATGTTCATGTATAGTTCCTGGGCAGGCTGAACAGTAATAGTTACTCACAGAAACAAACATTTTGACTGGATATTTAAGTCAAAATGACTTGTCCATGGAAGCCCATGAAAAGAAGCTGGCACACCATGACCCCCTAATAGACCAAAGATGGAACTGGATCTACATTACATTCCTAGACATTACTGGATATTTAGAAATTACTGAGCATCTGAGCCAGTGGAAACTGATGTCTTTTCCCTTACAGAGGACCTGTTGCTGCCTTGAGCACAGTGGCGACATTGGTGAACACATGCATTCTTCTTTACAGATATCACCCAAACACTAACATGAGCGTTAGACGAGCTTAAAGAAACTCCCAAATTTGGCATCATGCAAAGTCCACTTGCTCACTCAGGTTAATGCCTTTCCACACTGACAAATCGTTATATATATATGTAGGCCTATATATTATACTACATGTAAATATTCTCATATTACACTGTAGACAAGTCCTGGCATTTGAGCCAGTGACAACGTATCTTCCACAGGCTGAAATGAGCCACCTACAGTCTCCATCAAGGGTCCTGCTCTGAGACAGAGACTAACAGGCACCAGAGGAGTTGGTGCAGCTTTGACCTTAGGACCCCTCAGGGTACAGCTTTTATCCCCAGATGTCTAAACCCACATTCAGCTCCATCACAGGGCCCAGTACACACCTGTCTGTTAAACTCATAACTCTGAAACCTGTCACATTACACACAGGCTACAGTAAAAAGGCATGTGGCTTATGCTTCAAGTAGATAAATTACATGTCCAACCAAAAGAGCTTAAGTTTCTTTGTGTCAGTGAAGGGCAGAAAATATGGCAGGTCTATCACCAGGTAGACAAAAGACCGCCTGTTTTTATAAAGATGAGGGAACACTCACTGAAACATTTGCCCCTTCTGTTTACATTTTGTTACTGTGATTTACTATGCCTCTTTTATACAGATCACAACGTTCTGATCGAGGCAGAAGAAAATATTATTATTATAATAGTTGCACTACATATTTTCACTGGTCCTGTGAGAAGAATCTTAGCTTTTTTTTCTTCCCCAAACCTTCTCTTCATCTTTGACAAATTGGCAGTAAGTGAGTGTTTCAAAAACACTTAATCAGGAATGATGCTGGCTCTGGAGGATGCCCTGCCACTTTCCCTGTTTTCAAAGGCTTAACATATAATGGTGCATTGATTACCACCAATTTCATTAAAGACTCTTTTGAACTAATCCAGTTTAAACCTGAATGTGAGTTCAGGTGTGCTGCTGCGGCGCCTTGCACTGCCTCAGGCACCTCTCCAGCGAACTCACGTCGACTCCTAGCGTTAGAAAGTGGAACTGCAACAAGCGGAGGATAATAAGAAGATGTTGGGCTGCTCATACCTGAACAGTATAACCCGACGTTTGACCTGATAAAACTTGTGCTGTGTCCAGTAAAATATTTATAGTTACATGGTTTTTATTTTAAAAACGTCTAGAAAAAGTAAAGAATGGAAATATCTTTGCAACCATAAAGAACCTAAAGTATACTAACTAGAAAAACATCATGGGGATATTGCAACCTGTGCTGTAGTTACTGATGCAATGAGAGGAATAAATAAAATAGACCTTGAGAAGTAACACAGGAGTGATTTCCGTGACTTTTATTTTGCGCAATAGAGAAACAGCGGAATATCTGTAGTGTGCGTTATGGAAATCTGCGTGATGGAAATGCTTGTGAGCGCTGATGGACGGACGTTGTTATGGCACTGAGAATTGCTTTCTCTCTCTCTCTCCCTCTCTCTCTCTCTCTCTCTCTGAGCTAAGAGGATAAGCTCGTCCCTTTTCATCGTGATTGGACGAGTCCACGTCTTAGGAATGGCATCTAACTGTTTAAATAGCACTCTGTCCCCCCTCGGCTTAAAATTTGTAGCGGTCGATAGCAGGAAGGACAAGTTTGCAAACAAAGGGGGGGAAACACTTGTCTTTAGTATTTTTCCTTCTTTTCAAGGTGAAATATTTTCTTATCTAATAATTCGTATTAAAGCCATTTCTTGGGGATTATTACTGGATTTCTACACATTTTTGTGGGATTTTTTAACTTTTGGTCTGTGGTTTTCGTCAAACAGGTGAGCATGCGACTAGTTATGCGCTGAACGCCATAACATTTGTGATTTATGGCACCATAGAATCATTTTAAATGTTTACAAGCTGATGCGCAGTGTCTGTGGCTGGCACTGACATTCATGTTGAAACTGGTTAGATTGCTGTGTTTTGTCGTTTCTGTTAAAGGCAGCAGGTTGGCGTTTCACCATGAAGTTGACTGGGATATTTTTGCTATTGATGCTGTGGACCTGCGAGAGCGCCAGAGTTGCAGGTGAGTTTGGCTGAACTGAGAACTTCAGCTTGAATTTGCAAGACTTCTCAGAATATTACATCTTTTTTTCAAACGGGAAATTCATTGCTGTTTATTGTGAAAATGAGGATGAGGATTTTAAAAAGTTTGCAGTGCCACACAAAACAATAGAAAGCCAGCGCACTGCCAGACAAAGGCTGACTGCTTATTATTATTCACCCGCAGAGAGCCGAGAAGACAATAGCGTGTTTGACTTGTTTGAGCTCGTCAGAGTCCCCAAGAAGAACCACGGGGTCACCCTGGTCAAAGGAGATGACCCGTACAGCCCCGCATACAAGATCCTCAATCCAGACCTCATCCCGCCGGTTCCAGAGAGCGCTTTTAGGGACCTGATCGATTCCATCCATGCCGAGAGGGGATTCCTCCTGCTGCTCAACTTCAAGCAGTTCAAACGGACCCGGGGAAGCCTCTTGACCGTGGAGAAACTGGACGGCTCTGGACCCGTGTTAGAGATAGTCTCCAACGGCAAGGCGAACACCCTGGACATAGTTTTCTCCACCGAGAACAAGCAGCAGGTGGTTTCCATCGAAGAAGCCTATCTGGCTACGGGCCACTGGAAGAATATCACGTTGTTCGTGCAGGAGGATCGGGCGCAGCTGTACGCGGGATGCGAGGAGGTGAACGCAGCTGAGTTGGATGCGCCTATCCAGAGCATCCTGACGCAGGAGACCCCAACCAGCGCGCAGCTCAGGATTGGCAAGGGAGCCGTGAAGGACAGGTTCATGGTGAGCGCACGGGCTATTGTTGACTAGAAGCTTACTTTCATATTGGGGACTTATTCATGTTTGAGGCAACGATTACGTTTGTTTTTTTTTTTACTGGTGCACGGAGTTATAGCCTAAACGTGATCATCAATACTTGCAGGGGGTCCTACAGAACGTGCGGTTTGTGTTTGGAACAACACTGGATGCCATCCTCCGCAACAAAGGATGTCAAAGTTGTGAGTAATCTTGACCAAGATGCCTTCGGTGTTTACTCATCACTCACCTGCTTCATGTAATGCCAAGTCCCAACAAGTTCTGATCAAACAGATGCTGTAAGGCTTCATTAGTTTGCCTGCTGATTTCTATCTAAGACATTCACCGTGAAGCTGCTTACACTTTGTCAGAATATATACCAGTTTACAAATATCTCAGGGTACTGTGTTCTACAGGGTGTAAAGTATTAACTAATTGCTTTTCAAAAAGGTATGGCATTGTGAGATGTGTAACATACCCCATCTTTTTTAATAAACCAGCCAAAAAGTTAAGCAATTTGCTTTATGGTACCATTTCTCCTTCAGCCATGACCACTGAAACCATGATCCTGGAGAACCTCAATGGCTCCTCGGCCATCAGAACAGAGTACACTGGACATAAGACTAAAGGTAAACACTGCTGCATGTGACTTTGACCTATGGATTTCCCATTATACACCGGCTGACACCTGATTAGTCCTCAGTATAAAAAATGAAAATATTTACCTATGGTAACAATTAATGGCCATTCCCCCCTGTGTCTCTGCCCTGGTGAAGACCTGCAGATGGTCTGTGGATTCTCCTGTGAGGACCTGGTCAGCATGTTTAAGGAGCTGAGAGGCCTTGGTGTTGTGGTGAAGGAGCTGTCCAATGAACTCCGCCAGCTAGTAAGGAGGAAAGCTCCCAGTGTGTGTGTTGGCACAGTGAAAGAGACCGCCTGTCTGCTGCCTCTCTCTCTCTCTCTGTGTGTGTGTGTGTGTGTGTGTGTGTGGCCTCTAGGTTACCATCACTACCCATTTGTAGCTGTTCTGCAAATAACATTCCTTATACTGCATATTCAGCCAAGGAAATGCAGTGCCTCTAACATAGCTAATACCAATAGCTATTATTTTACTAACTTTAGCAAAATACAGCCTAAATAACTTTGACTTTAGTTCTTATTTAACATATTTATTCTGTTTTTTGAATTTGTCTGTCTACACAAAAGCACATAACCAACACTACAGTCATGTTCTTTTTACTTTTTTTAACTGAATGCATAGATTGTACATAGGTTAATTAGTACCTTATACTTTAATATAGGCAGACAGGTATTTGCCAAGATAACAACTCATACAGGTCCAGATAAACAATAAATATCTGTTTTGTCTGTTTTGTCTGTTTAACATTTCCTCCCAGACAGATGAGAACAAGCCTATTAACATTCACAGTGGCGTCTGCCTCCACAATGGCATCGTTTACAAGAACAAAGATGAGTGGACGGTCGATGACTGCACTGAGTGCACGTGTCAGGTGAGATCTCCAGTTTGTGCTCCTACCAGCTTGTGGATTTTGTCTTAAGTACTTAAACACATGTCTGAGGGAACTTGTCTTTACATGTACACACACATTTGTGTAAAGACAATCCACACCGAACAACCTCTCAAATGATCTGGTCCAGTAATTAGTGGTGTGAAGGCCTGGCAGAAGACCAACAGTCCTGTTGTAATGAGTGGTCTATTGTCAGACATTCATCTTCAGTGTGGCCTAGAGGGACTTGACCAGACTTTAAGTGATGCATTGCTTATAATTAAGAACAAGACCTTGGCTCTGACAAATGGAAAGGAGGGATGGGGTTCATGTGCAAATACTTGGCACGGAAGATCCCTAGTTCACCGATGGCCTTTATTTCCTGATTTCCTCTTCTACGGATACAGTAGTTGTCCCTATATCCTCCTTTCTTCCCTGTCACTGATCAGATCCGGGAAAGAGAACGTTAGCATGAATAGTTGGAGGCAGTTATTATCCTTGAGTCATTTGCAGTGAACTCACAGATGTGCTGGCAGGCAGGCTTTACTTGTTTGGGGCTCAGTGCTCCACAGTGAAAGCTACTTCCATTACTGGCCTCACTCTCACCCATTTCTGACCCCGTGGGAAGGCAGTTGTCTGCAGGGGTCTTCGTTCTCAGCCAGAGTGCTGCCTTTTAGTTTTGCTGGCATGGTAAATCTGTGCAAACTCAGATGGTGGGCTGTGAATTTAATGAGTTGATTGCATACATGGACTAACACTTGCACAAAAATTCTCAGTAGTATCTCAGTGCCATTGGAAATGGGGATTTAATCGAGTACTTGGACATAATTTGGGTGATATCCATATTTCCAAGCTTATGTTTAACCATCAATTTGATCTCTGTGCTTGTGCAGAACTCTGCTACTGTGTGCCGGAAGATCTCCTGTCCCCTGATCCCCTGTGCTAATGCCACTGTTCCTGATGGAGAGTGCTGCCCACGCTGTGGAACACGTAAGCATTTCTACTCTATGAAGCCCAGTTCATACAGTACAGGAAGGCACACTGTAATTACAGTTATGTAAACCTGCGCTAAAAGCATTTGCATAAATAGCCCCTGTCACCTAGAATGTATATGTTTTAATTAGGAGATGGCGCATTCAACCACTGTCCTGTTCACTGAGAGATCCCTTTCTATGTTACTGGTCATACAAAACAAAACCGCCACAAATATTTCCCCAGATGTAAAGGTTTCTACTCAAGAGAAAACATGTTAATTTCAGAGATGACTTAACATCCAAGTAAATGAAAGGCTACTTATGTGTTTGAAACACTGGTGCTTTGTGCTCCAAAGCATCTTTGAATCTTCGAGTTGAACTGGCTGTAATTTGCCATATTGGTTAAAGCGGGATGGAAAGTTGGTTGACTGTTTAGTGAAGCCCATCTCCAACATGAGCAGAAGTGACATGTTGTTCATACCAATGCAGGCTTGGCTGCAATGCTTCCCTAAAAACTAAGTAAACATGGGAAGCCGCTTCAGCCACTTGTTGAAGTCATTACACACCCAGTTTGCAAAATCCTTTTCTCCGTAGGAAAACATATGCCAATGGGACATCCCTATATATCTTAAGGACAGTAGGCCTTTCTGTTTCCCCAGCTCGTCTCAGTGTGCTAGTCTTTGTCCTCTATCTCTCACATTCCAACTAAATGCACACTATTAGCCCCCAGCTTCAGGAACTTTCCCTCCTCATTTAGGTTTGGAAGTGTTTGTGAAGGGGTGCTGCCTCGCTGGAATAGCTCTTTTATTGTCTCCCTCTTCCCCGCTTTCTCATATTCTCTTCTTCTCTCTCCTGCTCAGCGAGCGACTATGCAGAGGACGGCTGGTCGCCATGGTCTGAATGGACCCATTGTTCTGTGTCATGTGGGCGGGGCACCCAGCAGCGCGGGCGCTCTTGCGACCGTATCAATAACAACTGCGAGGGTACCTCTGTGCAAGCCCGTGACTGCTACCTCCAGGAGTGTGACAAGCGCTGTGAGTTAACACAACATACTCTCACTCATCAGCCAAACACAAACAAAACTCTTTGAAGAAGTCAAGCCTGATTCACATGTAATGAATCTGTGATTTTACTATCATCATCTATGTAACATAATGTTTCATAACACAGTGGTCCAATGCTTTGCTGTCTCAAAACTGACCTCTGACCTTTCTTTGTGGCCTCTAGTCAAGCAGGATGGCAACTGGAGCCATTGGTCACCCTGGTCTTCCTGCTCAGTCACCTGTGGTTCCGGTGTCATCACTCGTATCCGCCTCTGTAACTCTCCCACCCCCCAGTTCGGAGGCAAGGACTGCAAGGGAGAGGGCCGTCAAACTGAGACATGTCTAAAGTCTCCATGCCCCAGTAAGATCCACCAACTAGTATTTTCTGTCTGACTGCATCTGTGTGTTGTGTATAGCAACAATGCACACAAACGCTGTTTTCTTCTCATCTCCCACAGTCAATGGCAACTGGGGACCCTGGTCACCATGGGATACATGTACTCTCACCTGTGGAGGTGGTGTCCAGACTCGTAAACGCCTGTGCAATGACCCCACACCAAAATACGGTGGTAAAGAGTGTGTTGGAGATGCCAAAGACACTCAGATGTGCAACAAGCAAACCTGCCCCATCGGTGAGGCACTTTTATAACACTTCTACATGTCCTATGCATCTGTAATATTTTATTCTGCAGCTTTTACTGAGCTTTAATTTACTACATTATCATTACTTTTTGGCATCTTTTTTGTGTACAAGACCTAATTATTTAGTGATATTTCTATATAGCCTTCATGATGACATAACTAGAATTCAAGTACCTTGAGGATGATGTTTTGATAATGAGCCAGCATTTTTGTTTTCAGACGGGTGCATATCTAACCCCTGTTTTGCTGGAGCCAAGTGCACCAGTTTCCCTGATGGTTCCTGGAAGTGTGGAAAGTGCCCGACAGGCTACACGGGCAACGGTATCAAGTGTAAAGATATTGATGAGGTAAAAATTCTTTAGTCCTTGAATTATTCTACAAACATGGTTTGATGCCTGTTTAATATATACCAAGTCTCCAGATTAATCATCACAAATGTTGCTCTTTTTGTCCAAAAAACAGTGCAAAGAAGTCCCAGATGCTTGCTTTGAGTTTAATGGTGTGCACCGCTGTGAAAATACAGATCCTGGCTACAACTGTCTGCCCTGCCCTCCTCGCTTCTCAGGACCCCAGCCATTTGGCAGAGGTGTGGAGCAGGCTGTTGCAAATAAACAGGCAAGTACGGGGTTGATTTTATATCAAGCAGCCAATCAGAGAACAGCAAAAAGCAAATGCTTTGACATAAAGCAATACAAAATGGTGAGATGTAGGATAAATCAATACTGGTAAGTGGGTTATGTGGCATCTCCACGGTAGGATCACAATCATCTGTTGTTAATGTCTGCCTTTTTAAGAATAGAATGTCATGAATTTTGGGTTGTGCACAGTTAGTCTGATCACTGATCAGTTAAACTATTTATCTCTCCCTCCCTCTCCAGATATGTACACCCCGCAATCCCTGCATTGATGGAAGCCACGACTGCAACAAAAATGCCCGCTGCATCTACCTCGGACACTTTGTCGATCCCATGTATCGCTGTGAGTGCAAGCCCGGTTATGCTGGCAATGGTCATATCTGTGGAGAGGACACAGATCTGGATGGATGGCCCAATGCTGACTTGGTGTGTGTGGAGAATGCAACCTACCACTGCAAAAAGGTAGTTAGTGGTAAAGTATTAGAACAACATGCTTCTACAATTATTAAAAAAGATGGAAGAAACTACCCTGCCCCCTACAAATCAATAAGCTATGATTTTTGTCTGACGGTGTTGTTACCCAGGACAACTGCCCCAACCTCCCCAATTCTGGTCAGGAAGATTATGATAAAGACGACACTGGAGATGCTTGTGACAATGATGATGACAACGATGGCATTACTGATGACAGAGTAAGTGAACCTCTCCACACAGTGGACACAACAGCTGATGAGAGCATGTGTGCTTGTGTTCTGTGACTGCGTTTTTTGCATTTATCATTCATGATGTCTAATAGTCTAATAAGATGTC